AACCTGCAGCAGGGGGTGGTTTCAAAATCAGGCAGAGCAAACTGCATCTCCCATTTATGTGATTAGACTACAGAGGAGTTTCCTAAAGTGACCTGTACTTCCAGAGTTCAATAAACACTTTGCCACAGACAACATTGAAGTATACACTTTTTTAACATTGAGAAGGAAGATAATACAAAACTCCTCCTTCTCCATTTAAAGTATTGTTGTTTAAATTATTCATAGTTACAGAGATGAATTATTAAGTTTCTAGCAATTAGACTCTAGTATACAACACCGGGATTGGGGCATGTGGAATATTCAAACAAATCTCTTGGTAAATTGCAGTGGCCAAACAGAAGCATGTAAGTAAACTTGTCTGTCAAACTTCTGCTGGCATACACATGAGAAAATAAATTCATAAAAACTGGTGATGATGTCATGCAATGAGGAAAACAATGCCACAGATAGATAGATAGATAGATAGACAGATAGATAGATGAAAAGGAAAATTACAGAGTGAAAGGAACGCATGGAAATAAGAAAAGGAACAAAGGAAACTAAAGCTTGTTTGAAAAAAGTTCAAAGATTAAGTGAGATTTCCGCATAACAATCCATGTTTTACCTCAGCACATGAATTGCTGTTTTGAATTGTGATCTTTGACATAGCTATTATAAGAGCATTCGAGTGTTGCTTCATGTAGTGCATGAACAACTTAAGAGAACCAGTTTGTTAAAGTTAGCCCATTTATTATCGGAGCGAAGGCTGTTTGGGGTCAATACACTCGAAAACACACTCGAGTGTTTTAGAGATCCCTACAAAGATGTAAGCACTTACGAGACGACGCTTCAAATGATGCCAATCTTCAAAAAGAATTGATCTTAAGAGCACTCAGCTAAGCCTTGTCACAAAGAGGGAGAAGCGCACACAACAATGAGAAAAGTGAGAGTGAAAATACAATTTGCACAATAGAAAGAGATGGTAGCAACAAAAAAAAAAAAGCAAAAAACAGGGCTGTAATTAAGAGAAATGTCTTCCCAGTCTGCCTTGCAGCTTACTCCCAAGTCATAAACACATTGAAAGCTTTTCTTAAGGAATTCAGCAATAAATTTCTGAAGGCTAACTACAAGCTGCTGTGTCAGATAGGTCTATTTGGGGTGATTAATGGCACACTGTGCGGCATACTAAGGATCCTCAACTGTAAATCTCTTTTGCTTTTGTGCCCATCTAAGCCTACAGCTTTTTGAGAAAACTGTCAAAAATAATTTATTAGGAACCATAACATTATCATAAAAAATGTGATATCCTTCACAATTAGTAAGGAACTAAAAGTTACCAATTAAGAAATTGTGTTTTAATATCAACCTAAATTTGGAGTTTAGTAACATTTTTGTGGCAGTGAATCTTTAATATAAGGATGTTTTTGTTCTTGTTCAGTGAAGGCTAAAGGCCTCAGCGGCCGAAGTCATCTGTCATGATATAAGGTTACCTAACATGGCAGACTCTTGCTTTTCTTTACACAATCTGAGTGTCGGCAACCATCCACCCCCTTTCTTTCCCTTCCATTTCATTCCTCTGTACTGTCCACACGTTCCTTGTGTAATATCTCACCTTACACACACGAGCCACTCGGGACAGGATGCTCTTATCGTTGCCCTCCCACGACACCTCGCGGAAGAAAAAGTATATCTTATCGTCATCCAGATTGTACGTGTCAGCAATGGGATGAGCAGAAATAAACCTGGCCTCTGAAGACACAGAGGGAACAAAAGAGGAAAAGTATTTAAAAAAAAGTCCAATAATGGGTTTTACCATGAACTGGAATCTGAGTTGCTTTGACACTACACCATAGTTAGAATGTTATTATTTACGAGTCATTGCTTCTTTTACAACCAGTGAGCAATGCTTTTATTTTGACTCATTCAGATTATTGCAATGCACTTTAAATTGGGATGAACCAGTCATTTATGTTCCTAATTGTACAGATTGTCCTTAAATTACACATATTTTCTCCCATTTTGATTTCATACAGACATATAGGGCAATCTTACAGATTTTTTTCAAAAACTTTCCTTCAAATTTCCTTGTTTGGCAGTCTGTAAGGAAATAATTTCACTTCCTCCTCATCCTTCCCTCCTTGAATGATGGTGCTTCCGATTTTTTGTGAAAATTACGTATTCCTGATACGGGAAAATGTCCAAAGGGGTTGCCATGTATGCAGTTGTCACTTGACAAAGTCGTCACCGAGACAAAGAGTAGGACGAGAGGAGACGCTCTCAGTCGCTGCCCCTAAACTGTGGATCAAGTTGCCTTTGCAGATTAAACAGATTATATAAAACATGTTTTTATTCAGTTTGAGATTTTGGCTTTTAGTGTTCTTATTGCTTTTATGGTTTTGTGGTTAACTGTTTTTGTGTGTTTTTTTATTACATTGTGTAGTTTTTATTCTTGTTTTTTAAAAACTATGAGTCTCTAATTTTGGTATATTTTAACTTTTTTATTGATGTACAGTTCTTTGGCCAATGGTGTTGTTTTTAAAGTACTTTATAAATGAAGTTGTATTGTTTTGTATAAAAACCTGTCACTTCGTCATTCATTATATGCTTTATTTATTGTATTATGGTGCTAAAATGAAGAACACGTGTTAAACAGTAAAATTTGTGTCCCAACAATATCCCAGTTCAGGAGAGAACGAGTCCAACAGCCTAAAAGTTGCAGTGACATTACGTCAACATTAGCTCAAGCTCTAAAAGCCGAGCCAAACACCAGAGGGTTATTGCTCCAACTGGAACAGCTTAATAAACTGCTGCTAACACACTCGACAGAAGGTCATTCTTAGTCATGCAGCACTCAAAAGATGTTCCACAGGCTCACAGGAAAAGAGACACTGGAGGATATGATGTGCTGTTTGACTGCCCTCCACCGACACTCAATGTTTACACTTACTGAGAGACACAGAGACAGACAAAATTACTCCAAACATCTCTGACCATGTAGTTGTGAAATGTGAAGACCATGTGCAAGGATTTAAATGCTGGAGACAACTGTTGATACTCAACAGCCCGTCAGTGTTGTAAAACACTTGAGACTAAAGATGCATGCAAAGGGGGCTCCTTGCATGGGGGTGCCTGTGCATGCTTGTGTGTGTGTGTGCATGCATGGGGTTGCAGGACTGGGAACTTTGTGGAACACTGTAAATTCCCCGGTAGGTGTGGTCCCTGTTCAGCAATGGCATTCATATAAAAGTTCTAGCGAAATGAATAAGTGGACTGTTTTCTTCCCTCTGGAATGCCAATAACCATCCCAACGGCACAAACAGCCCCTTTGTATCAGCAGAGAGGCTGGACGTTTTGTGAAACAAGTAATAACAACTTTTGAGTGCACTCAGCCTGATAATGTGTGTATGGGCGAGATTGTGTTTACCATTGATCCAGTAGTCTTCAGAGATGTCTGTGCGTATGTAGTGCTGGTCAGGTGGAGGCCCCAGAGAGCGTGTGAACGCAGTGTCTTTTCCCAGGAAGTCTGAAGATGTCCCCACGTATAGGTGCTGATCTGAAAGGATGTTTGGTATTTATCACAGATAAGCAGACAGTATTTTTATAACGGGAACGTTCTCTTATTTCTACTGTTCTATTCTGCATTTATCATTATTATAAAATCTTATACTTTATGGTTTGCTTGAATCTGCATTTGTCAGGGTTCTTGACCTCAGTGAATCCAAATATGCAGACAGAATTAGCAACATATGGCAGAGGCACTTTAAAACACATGCTTGTGATTGTCTGCCAAATTAATTTGTTGTTCCCTGTGAACTGTCAGCTTGTCTACTAATTTATGTGCCAAAACTGCTGGGAAGGAGTTTTTGGAAAACAAATACACGAATGCAAATTTTCAATAACAACTTTTTTTTTCAAGAAAACCTTTACGTCCCTAAGATGGTGATTTGCAGCATTACGATTCTGTCTAATTGATCAATTTTATCATCACCGTTATCTTACCTGTCATGACTGAGGTGAATGGCTGCAAGGGATCAAAAGGACATTTCAACCTGCCAGATTCGACTGTGTTAGACAGTAGCTGAAATGCACCATCCTGTGGATTATAGAAGCATCAATTTTAAAGGTGTCAAATCCTGACCTAATTTTTCCAGCTGCTATTCACTCATTTGTGCTTTACCTGTCTGTGGCCAGTGAGTTCTATGAAAGCACAGATGGGGTGAAAGGCGCCTGTCCCACAGGCATAGACATGCGTTCGATTGTAATTGTGGAGGACTCGAATAAAATTGGCACATTCCAACTGGAACAAGCAAGGACAGAGAAACAGAACAAAACAAGGATGAACAACAGTATGACAAACAGGATGTCTGTGACACCACACATGGCAAGTTGACAGGCCAAATTACTCAGCATCCTACAACTCAACCCATTTTTCCCTAGAAGTACTTACACTCACATTTTTGCCAGCCAGTTTGCATGTTTCAACTTTGTCCCTTGGAGCAGGCCAATAGATCTGTTAACATACAAATTAGTTTATGTTTCATGCATCACAATAGATCCAAAAAGCAAAACATAAGCCTCAGAATAAAATCCTCTCACGTTTGAAATGTGTATACCTTTATCAACAAAGAAACTGGTAATTGTTTCATTTGTGTTTAATGAAAAATGATCGTGTTTAAGTTGCAAAAATATAAGCACAGATAGGATCTAAAAGGAGTTTGCAAAAGTAAGATCATATATATTTTATTAAAAGGTTACTCCTGAATAATCTTTTGACCTTCTGACCTGATATTAGCAGGAGTGCAAAACAAGATTCTTCAGAAGATGTTTTAGTGGCTTTTAAAGGCTTATAACAAAAGCAGACACCTCAGATTTGGAACCAACAGCCAAGTTCAATAGATATTTCTTTCTTTTAGATATTTTTGCCTACAGAAAAAGCAGTGGTCAAAAAAAAAAGTAATAAGAACAAGAAGGTTGTGCAACAGGGGTCCTCTACTGCAGAGGTTCTCAAACTGGGGTCCCAGGACCCCCAGGGGTCTGCGAGTCATTTCTTGGGGGTCCTCAAAAATGTTAAATAAATTGTTCATTTGACTTTTATTTTTTTTTTAAATGCATATGGAGAAAAATACGCTTGTAAAACAAGCATACTAAACCAAACAAAAGATAATATTTCCATGGCATTTAGGAGGTAAAATGACAGTAAATTATTTTAAAACAGCAAGGGGTTTAAAAGGGGGTCCCTGGAAATGTTTCACCCTTGTAAGGGGTCCCCAGACCCAAAAGGTTTGAGAACCCCTGCTCTACTGGGTGCAAACTTATGCAGTCACAATAAAGTCACATTTTAGATGCTGGTACAAGAGGGAGCACTTATTCCTTGTTCCTATAATGTGCTGTGCCATGATCATACATGTGTTATAACAGGCTTATCTGCTTAGTGTGTTCTTTCTGCTAAATCCTACCAAGGAGTGCTATCACCATATTTATAGTTAAGGAACTCATACAGAAAATACTGCTACAATATGACATGTGACCAAGCATATGATTATGTTCCAAAAGTGTCCTTAAAAGTTTACAGCCAAGCGGCATTCTCCAGAAAATCATGGAAACACCTGGAATGCTATGTTTTCTTAGTGGCTGTGGTTCCCATTCCAGGTAAGTATTTTCTTGTAAACACCAGGTTTACAGTCGTTCACTGTCCAGGCTGGCCCTAAAGGTTTCAGAGCATTTTTTTTTCCTGACATCGATATTGACTACCCCAGAGACTCCAAGAGTGAGACTATCAGTTAAAACAACTTGATAAAGATCAAATAAACAGTCTTCCCACTGATGGATCAACCTCAGCTGCATAAACACATACTCACATCCACAAATGTTAGCATGTGGCACCATTCAAAAAGCATGTGTTTGTGTGTAATGGTCTCTGCGAATGTTTATGTTTGCAATTGTGTGTGTGCGTGCGTGTGCCCTCCAACATGATGACCCTGACCTTAGCAGACAGACAGATTCAGACTGCTGCTGACTGAAAGGTGAGTCCTTCACTAAAACAAAACACACCTAAGTGCCTTACAGCTACATGCTAATAGAAGAAATAACTTACGTCACCACACTTAATGGCAGGAGAGTAAGTGTCCTAAGATTAGGTTCCATTCTAAATTGTTGTGAAAAACTGATGTTGGGATGTCTAAAGTGGCTCCAAGCATAAGTCTAATCTGAGCAGTAAGTGACGTGAAGTGCATGGATGACTAGGCCAAATTTTGCTGGATGATAAATTGTCTTAGAAATTATTGCAATAAATGATAATATCATTTTGAGACCACTTTAAACTAATATAATGATACCACCTACCTCCAAATTACCCCTCTGCCCTGCCTTTTAAGGTTGCGTACTTTTACAAAATTTATGCACATAGAAGAAAGTTACGAACTGACCTGGAAAGGAGGTTGTGAAAACAACACACAACAACAACTGCTGAAGCTGTGCAGTCATTTCTCAACTCCTTCATATAAGCTGGCACAATTTATTCTGTATATGCTTCCTCTGGCTTCATAAAATAACTGTGGTCACACGGGCACCACTTACAAAATTTATGGAAATTTACAAAATGCACATTAATACCGATGGACCAGAAGCAGAGTTTGTGAAAACAACACAATAGCTTATAAAGCTGTAACATTGCCACCTAACTTTGTCCAACCTGACAAAATTTATTATGTGTCTTCTTCTGGCTTCATAAAATAATAATAATTTTGGTCACACATACTGCTTACAAAGTTTACGTAAGTTTGCAAAATGTGGTGCAAAAAAAAAAAAAAACAACAACTCTCTGCAAAGCCAAGATTTGGCATGGTGCCCTGAGGGCGTTCTGAGGCATCACCAGCTGAAAGAAAGTGTCTGAAAACCGAAATTGTTCCTCTAGCTAAATGCCTATTGACGGGGCTCTCATGCTACAGAGGTTACGAGACCATGCGCCTGGAAATTACCTGGTGTGAGAGTTCACTCCTTCCTACACAATGGAGTAGAAAGGAGGGAGAAACAAAGAAAACAAACAAGAAGGCAAATGAAAATTATCCACCTCATTTGAATTTATCATGCAATTAATTAATTTATTGCTTATCGCAACTTGCCTATGAAGGAGTCTTTTTTTGCAAAATTATCTTTCTCCCAATTTGTGCACTGACCCTTAAAGCTTATTTATAATATCTAATAATTAGAGATTACCTAAGCTTCTCCAATAGAGCAAAGGACCTAAATAGATCCAAACCTAAGAGCTCTTTTAGTATCAGCTCTCTCTCCCCTGCTAGTTTGTGTCATTCTCTCTCCTATATCTACATAATTGTTGCATTTGTATCTATACCTTTCTGGGGGCTTTGCTTAGATTGTTGGGGTCAAGCAGGTAGACGTGATCCCTGGCTCCCAACAAAAGGCGCCCTCTCTCTTCATCCAACAGCAGCGAGTGAGCGAGTAGGCCGTCTGCCGGGCACGAAAACAACGACACGCTACCAGCCTGCTGCAGTTCTGCTCAACAACAAGAGAAATAAAAACAAACAAAGAGATTAAAATTCTTTGTAGGCACGCAGCTTGCATGTAAAAAAAAATGCACCATCTAGAATTGAGTTACAGTATATATTTCAGTAGGTTCACACTGTCAAACTTGTTCTTTCCAGACAAGTAAAAGGTTGCCTAATCAGGAAAAAAAAAACAATCAGTCTTTGCTTGACTTGAAGTTACTTAATCATCTGTTTTTAAAACACCTCAGCTACAGTATGTATGCTTTTGGAGAAAAGACAGGAGGATTTATTTGGACAGTACATTACGTCATGTTCACTGTGTTTCTTTGTTTGGTTTTCTGTTTGGGGTTCGTCATTATTATTATTATTATTATTATTATTTTTTACAATGGGCTTCTGTGTTTGCTTTGTGTTCAGTTTGTTCTATTGCTTCCTGTGTTTCCTGCCATTCTCTGTTTCTTTCACCTCAACCAGACTTTTAGACACCCTTCACTCTACCCTGCCCACTTACACCTGTTCTCTGTTGTTATTAAGCCAGGTGTCTCCCATTTCCTCATTAGCCCCCGTCTATTTAGTCTTTCAGTTTTCACTTCGTGTGCAGGAAAGCTTTGTTGTGCTTCATGTCATATCCAATTCACCTTACGATTACTCCTCAGTTAATGTATTTTTTTTTATTTTGTTGCTACATCAGCCTTTTGCTTTTTATTAAATAAATTGCTAGTTTTATTTGCTTTTCTTGTGTCAGCCTGCATTCTTGGGTTCAGTCCTCCACAAACTGTGACACATTCGTTGGAACTTTATCTTGCAATAACATCTCAGAATATGTCATCTCACGACTCAAAAGCAACTGTTTAAAAGCAGAGGTTTCAGGAATTTGTTTATTTATACTCGCTGTTGCTCTACTTACCCACATAGTCCTCATTTGCAGTTGAGTGAGCATCATCGTGAACATGCGCTGTGGTTGAAGTGTTTGCCAGGGGCAATATGAGATTAGATCCTGATGAGGGCACGTGGGATGCCTGTTGCTCAACCATCACATGGTGGTAGTTGGCTCCCGACGTGCACTTTACATGTACCATACAGAGACTGGTAAAAACATATATGGCTTGTTTTAACTGATGGTGTTGGAGTCTACGTGTCTATGGCTCATATTAAAGAAAGGTTTCTGAAAGCTGAGCACAGCTACTTTCTCAGCTCAGCCCTGTGTCCTTGATCTCCCTGATCTGAGGAAATCTTTTCCATCACCAGGCTCTTTTCAGTACACCAGTATAGCAACATGCCTTGAGTAAACACTGACTCGAAACTGGGGAGTCCTGTGGGAGTCACTCTGAAAGGATTGACATTGTGATTACCCTCTCGGTGTGAAGGATTGGAGAGGTTAGCAACCTTCAATATTTGAACTTCTGGGACCCCCCTCACACCATGCAGCCCTGCCTAAAACCCCCTCCTATGCACAAGCTTTCAAATATAGAAACCCCACATGCTGCTATTGCTCACTCCTACACACACATCATTGCCCCCAGTAGACTTAAACTCTCCCAGAAAGAGATTAGGTCCTCTAGACTCTTGCTAACAGTAATCTGTTCTGTAAACACACAGCACTATGAGTCCAATGAAACAGTCTTTTTGGCTGTTGCTGCCATACATTGTGATCCTCACATCTCTTCGAAGAGGAGAGTCGTCAACATCATCAAAGATTTTTGATTGTCTTTACAACTGGTGCTTTTAAGTCAATGATGAATATTTAGAAACCTGTATGGCTGATATACAACAATTTTACCATCTTGTTGCATTTTAAATAATCCTTTCCCTTTTTAATAAATATATTCAAAAACCCTTTTATGGCTATCAGTCTCTGGAAAATTACATGGGATGGAAATGTCCACACTTTTAGTTTTCTGTTTGTTAAAGAATAAGCTAGCAATCAACTTATGATCACAAATACTATCTTTGGCACAACACAGTCATCTCTATCACTAATATAGTGTTGAGATGTGAATGTTTTATGATGTTTGCTCTTTGGAAACTGCAGGCCAGAGTTTCATCAGCAGCATGAGTAGGAATCTCCCATATGAGCTAAGGCAACACCCTGACATAAAGCAGTATTTTATTTAGGAGAAGCATTCCTGTGTCTGGCATTTAGACCCGCTGAAATGCGGCTGTTTTGTATTTGTTACAATCCAAGTTTTTGCCATCAACATCCAGTGCAAAATGTTCTGTTTATGATTCATGTAGAGAGTGACGTGACAGCCAGTTTCAAATGTCAGAAAGTGACAGAACACATTCCATAAATCCATGTAAGTTAAGTAGCAACTATTTACAAACAGAGTTAAAACTAAGTGGAGCCATAGCTTGAGTAACACAGGCCACACGGGGATAAGTTGCATTTACTTCACGGTTTTGGTCACACACACAAACAACAAAGGCAGCAGACTAATCAGACACTGTAGTCCAATAAATTAGATTTGGCCACAAGAATATTAAATGCCCTTCCTTTTCATCAGAAGACAGACGCAGTTCTTCACTCTGACGCTGGATGAAGCTCATCCTTCAACACGGGATTTTCCGGGTAAAGTTCATGAAGCCTCTTGTTTTGAAGGTGCTCACTCAAACAGGGATGATTTCACTTTGATCACTTCACCCTTCACTCACTGAGACGGTGCTTTTGCGGGGGGGGGGGGGGTGTGCTGTGATGTGAGGTTTGAAGAGTGATCTGTGCTGGGTGGTGTTGCTTTAAAGCACTGAAGAGATGATGATGATGATGATGACATATGTGTATAATGGGAGCCCTGAGTTCAAGATTCACTCTGGATGGATTTCTTTAAAACCACAGTCATCTGGGTTGAGAGGACCAAAAAGGGATGTGGCTGTGTGGCTTTTGCTCAGGGGTCTATGGGTAAACATTTTATGGCAAGATCATCATTTGCGTGACTAAACACTAAATGTCCGCCACTTTTATTGTCAGATCCAAAAACGATATGATGGCAGAGCAGGAAAAAATACAGCTTAAATGCACATGTGGCCTGGTTAGAAAGTAATCAAATGTGAATTGGAAACAACATGAACTGAGACACACTGCAGAGTTAAATGCTATCCTAAGTGCTGAGTAAACACTGTCCCTTGCAGCCATTACTCTTGCAGCTACTTGAATGTATTTATGTTGGACACTAAGAACACATGTGTACATCTTTTTCCAGCCACACTGAGCCTTGGAAGCTAAAAAGGAGCCTTTAGAGCCTGAAGTCAGATGGAGTTTACTTTTAGGTCACAGTGGGGGATTCAGTTTTATGGAGCAAGACTGAAGTTCATTTGTGTGGTTTCTTGTGGTCCACACAGTGCAGGAGACACAGAGGCTTTGATGTAAAGTTTGCACTGCAGCTCAGAGTGGGTTTTAAGGGCAGAATAATTATGGTTTCCCTGGATGCACAAAGCAAACAGACTTAGATCATGTGGAGCTAAACACACAGACAGAAAGCACAGATATAATGTTCATGCAGAAGACTGAACGACTGTCTTCAGTGCACCAAGATTATGAACATGTAACATAGCAACAATATTGTTGTTTTCCTTTAACACAATCTGGGCTCAAACCAGGAGCCTCAGGATTACAAGACCGCAGAACTGACCACCAAGCTACCGTGGCCCCATAAACACAGCAACAAAGTGCTGGCTCAAAAGCAAACATTTGTATTTAGTTATTTTGGCTGTAGTAAAAAAATGACTTAGGGCTAGCATAATAAAGATTTACTTTTTGAGCGGATTAAAAGATCGCATTCATGCTTGACAAAAGGTAATCGTAAAAAACTTAAGTGCCAAACATGAAGTTATGATGTGGGATAATGGATATGTTAATGAATCTTAAAGGAGACATATCATGCTCTTAAATCCTTCTTTTTCTGATTTAATCATTAAGTTGGGGTCTATATAAAGAGGAACTGCAATGCTTTGGTCTGAATTCCTCCTTATTGTAACTCCACAAGCCCCTCTTTCACCCCTTTTCTGAGATGAGTCTCAGATCAACTCATTTTGAGGCTGTCTCTTTAAATCCAAATGTGCCCCCTCCAGCTTCCAGACTGACCCAGTCTAGTTTGATAGCAGAGATACAACTATATAGTGGCATAGAAATGTTTTATTTACAAATTTATTAAAATATATAATCAACAAGGCTTGTCCATCCAGCCTTACATGTTAGAGCCAGAGTCTGACCCAGAGGACAATGAAGATGATCAAATTGTGGTTGGTAAGTCCAGACCTTATTTAGAAGTGCTGTCACAAATTATGTGACATATTAGTTCAGAAAACATAATGGAAAATAGAGAAAACAGATCACAGAGGGAGACTAAATTCACATTTTCTGCACAGCTAAAAAAAAAGTGGATTTTGCGTGATATGTCTCCCTTAAATGTTGCACTTGGCTACACAGCAATGTCTTAAATAGTGTTAATTGTAAATGTATGACTGCCCTGGTTTCTTTTGTCGCTGTGCACAAACTACAAAAAATATAAGGGAAGAGAAAGACAGACATAAACAAGAAGAATGACAGAGAAAATGAAAAACCTCATTGTGAATGTCAAATTTTAAATCCCTACAAATGATCTTAGCTTTTGTATAAACTTTTTATTATTAAATGAAATTTGTTTTAACACTGAAACTACCATTTATCAGTATTTCAGTTCTTACCTTTGTAGCTGAGTTTGACCCTGGGGACACTCTGTTTGATGCTCGCTCCAAAGGGAAGGCAGGCCAACAAAATCAGTCCCACTAATGGGACCAACGGATGAGATTGAACCCAAGTCCTCCTTCTTTTACTGCTGTAATCACTGCCAGACAAGCGGACCAGAACCCCAGCTCTATTCCATCTCTGATTACCAGCGTCTTCTTTCTTCATGATGTGTTCAGTGTCCTTGTTACGTTTTCACTCTTCTCTCAATCCTGGTGGAGGGGAAAAGACCAGAGTGGAAAAAAAAAAAATGTTAAGCAAGGGTGGAGCAATCACATGTGAGTATGCATGAGGGTGTGTGCACTCTCATCTAATTTTACAGAGGATGTGAACACTTGTAACTGTTGGGAGCATTCAGCTGTTTCACCATGGAGCCCTGCAGGCATGCCTTCTTTCTTTCGCTTCTCTTGCATCAGCTGTTGCCGGTCGCTAGCTTTCCTTTTGTGATGTTGCAAATGTGTTTGCCCGAAACAAAGGTCAAACTAACCAAACAGACACTTTTTACCACCTTGCCTCTGGTCATTCCTCTTTCAGTTTCTATCTCTTCCCCTGCTTCCTTTTCACAGGAATATCTTATTTAACTCTTTGTTAAACGCATTAGTTTCACCGTGTGGCCAGTGACCCTGTCACTTCTTCCTTTGTACTGCATGAGCCGTGTCTTGTTTAAAATTTGACGACTCAAAGAGAGCTGTAGGACGAAGATATTGAGGGGGGATGGTTACAACAAAAAATGCCAGAAAATATCCAGTAAAGTGTATTTTTTCAAGTTCCACTCAGTATCACAGGGTTTTTAATACCTGCCTTTTTGTAGTTTCTGAAACCATTTAGTTACTAATTAACCAGACAATTGGTGAAGAAATGTATCAATGCATAAAAAAGCCTCCTCCTTTGACCTTACAGCTGCCCTCATTACTTCTCCTCCTCACCCACCGCAGATAACACAAATCAACTTGTCAAATGACAGTGTAAACAGTGTCAAACTGAATTAATTGATCGGATGTAGATGAGGCGCACACACTCGCACTTATCTCAGGTTCTGAAGCCAAACACGCTGCCTGCCAGAAGAGCAGTGCATAAAATCAATAAAAGTTGCACATCTGCCATTTAAGTTGATGCCATTCTGTATGCAGCACATTGTAAATCACTTACAATGGCGTTCAGAACATATACTAGTGCACACTAATGCAAACCTTTATAACACAATCAAACAGAAGTCGACACTAGATCTTTTTTGGGGGGCACATTTATTTACCCTGCCCAGGTTTGTCATCTGGTATTTAAAGCTTAACTCCATTGTAGATAGAGTGAGCTCACCAAGACACCCCCCCACTCCCCGCCCCAACTTCAAAACCAAGAGGATTAGACCCTGATAAACAGACTGCTGTTTATTTAAGATGACAAATTGAGGCACCTTCACACCTTCAAGGATAGAAATACAGATATGGAGCTCTCTGTGTGATGGATGAGCCATGGGCAAAGAGAGCCAGGAAGTCAAAAGGTTTTAATCCATGTGGTATTTGCACTTTGTGAGTGACGGTGATAGTGCCTCTGGCTAGGCTTATCCTGCCTGCAGTGTCTGGAGGACAGCGGTGACATGATTTCACCCAAGTGAGAAGCATTTGAGTCATGTATCTCTATTATTGGCTCGAGTGCTCACATTTCTCGGCTGCACGGGCATGTGCAGCCACTTTCTGCGAGACACGTCCCACAAAACATAGTAGGAAATGTGCTCTTAAAGAATGTTCATCTTTGGAGAAAAGAATGACAATTGCAGTGGTGGGAAAAACTATAAAGCAGAATATCATAAAGGACAAAGCTGAACAGTGAAAAAGAAGGTGAAGGAGAGGTGATGGAAGAGAAACAGTTTGTAGCATGTGGGTTAAGCTAACACCTCTGTTTCCTGGCGACTTGAGCCCCTGTTGTCTTTGGCAGCATGGCCGGCACGCGGTGCGGGACGGGGGGGGGGGGGGGGGGGGGGG